TCCAGGAGCTCCGCCGTGGAGGGCGCTTCATCAACATCATCGTCATATCACCATCATCATCAACATCCTCATCCTCATCATCATCATCATCATCAGCATCGTCATTAGCAGCGTCACCACCATCATCATCACCATCATCACCATCATCGTCATCATCATATTCCTTCCTCTCCTGATCCTCCCTTTCATCCTCCCCCCAGTGTTCCCCCGAGAATTTCCACAATGGCTGGGGGGACGCGTAATCCGATAGCGTTCCCCCCAGAATTTCCACAGCGGCTGGGGGGGACGCATTATCCGATAGCTTGGCCAAGCCAGGGTCCAACGTTTGGCCACAGAGGCGTTCCCCAACAAGCAGGGGGGCGGCGGTGGTTGGCTGTGTGCGTCTTCGATGATGATGTTGATGATGATATGATGCTGTCGTGTGGCGGTGACGATTGGGAAAGGTGAAGCCGCTCCCGCTTCGGACATCGAAGGGCAGCGTGTCCATGTTATCGCTGGCAAAGAATATAAGAGACGATAACATCGAATGGATGGGTGCGCCTGTGTTTTCTCCAAGGTCCGCGTGGAATGGATGAAAAACCAAGGCCGCAACCATGTGTGCAGCGAGCGGCACCGAAGCGGAAACGCCACCATGTTCGCGCGCCGTGCCGACATCAGGCGGCGTTCTTCAAGATGTCCCCCAGAAGGGAGGTCTTGCTCATGAAGTTTGCCAAGTCGAAGTCCGACGACGGCACCCGAGCATCATTTGCATTCTTCATCTTCTTTGTGCCTTTTGGCGTGAGGCCCAAGCGTGATTGGAGCTCCTGGTAAACAGCGTCTTTGTGTTCGGCAGGCACCTGGTGCATTTGCACCGCGGAACCTCCGTGTTGGAGCGTTCCGAAGCCAGCGGCGACGGCGAACCGAATCATCAGGCGCATGGAACTCTCGATGACCTCTGGGGTTGCCCCAGCGAGCGAGGACTTGTTCTTGGCAGCCGCGTGCGGGTTCTGAGCGTTGTTCAGGATAGACACTAGGATCTTCTTCTTGAGCCCAGGCTCCTCTTCGAAACTGTCCTCCGCCAGCGGGACCTCAGTGCGCATCCTTCTGCGAGAGCCTCCAGCTCCTGCTGCTGCCTCGTCTGCGGCCGGGGGCGCGGCTTGCGCGAACCCCGACGCTGTCGCGGCCGAAGCGCCCAGCTGGCTCGGCGGGCCCACGGGCGGAGGGGCGCCCACCTGCGACGCCGGCACGCTCTGGCCGCGCACCTCGGCGACGAAAGGGGCCTCCAGAGCGCGGCGCTGGTCGAGATCCACCGGCTTGCCGTCGAGCATGTCCTTCAAGCCCTGGCAGGTCTGATCGGCCGCGCCTTGGCCCCCCTCCTCGCGCGCGCCCGCAGCGTCCTCGGGCACCAACTCGCGCAGGTCGCGGAGGACGACGCTGAGGAGAAAACTCGGGTGTTCTCACGACTAGAAAAACTGAAACACGACAAGAGAAAACTGAAACACGACAAGGCACGGCTTATTCACGACAAGCACTTTCGGCGCCCACTTTCGCCGCCCATTTTCGCCGCCCACTTTCGCCGCCCACTTTCGCCGCCCACTTTCGCCGCCCACTTTCGCCGCCCACTTTCGGCGGCCACTATCGCCGCCCACTTTCGCCGCCCGCTTTCGCCGCCCACTTTCGCCGCCCACTTTCGCCGCCCACTTTCGCCGCCCACTTTCGGCGCCCACTATCGCCGCCCACTTTCGCCGCCCACTTTCGCCGCCCACTTTCGCCGCCCACTTTCGCCGCCCACTTTCGCCGCCCACTTTCGCCGCCCACTTTCGCCGCCCACTTTCGCCGCCCACTTTCGCCGCCCACTTTCGCCGCCCACTTTCGGCGCCCACTTTCGCCGCCCACTTTCGGCGCCCACTTTCGCCGCCCACTTTCGCCGCCCACTTTCGCCGCCCACTTTCGCCGCCCACTTTCGCCGCCCACTTTCGCCGCCCACTTTCGCCGCCCACTTTCGCCGCCGCCCACTTTCGGCGCCCACTTTCGCCGAAAGTGGGCGGCGAAAGTGGGCGGCGAAAGATGGCGCCGAAAGTGGGCGCCGAAAGTGGGCGGCGAAAGTGGGCGCTGAACGTGGCTTGCTTGTCGTGAATATGTTTCTTCCTTGTCGTGAAGCTGCTTGTCTCGAAACCATCCCGGCCATTTCAGCCTCACCTTGTCTCAGCTTCGGCTTGCCTCGGCCTCGTCCTCAGCCTCAGCCTCAGTCTCAGTCTCAGCCTCAGCCTGTCTCGGCCTGAGCCTGCCTCGGCCTCAGCCTCAGCCTGCCTCAGCCTCAGCCTCAGCCTGTCTCAGCCTCAGCCTGCCTCGACATCAGCCTCAGCCTCAGCCTCAGCCTGCCTCGGCTTGCCACGGCCTCAGCCTCAGCCTGCCAAGGCCTCAGCCTCGGCCTCAGCCTGCCTCAGAGTGGCGATCCGGAGAGTCAAGACGAGGTCCAATCCAGAATTCCGGATTCTGGATTCCGGATTGGACTTCTGAGTCCATAATCCAGAGCCCAGAATTCCGGTTTTAGGATTCCGGATTCCGACTTGGACTTCGGAATCCAGAACACAGAATCCCGGATTCCGGATTCCGGATTCCGGATTGGGCTTCGGATGTCAGAATCCAGAATTCCGGATTCTGGATTCCGGATTCCGGATTGGACCTTTGAGTCCAGGATCCGGAATTCCGGGTTCCGGGTTCCGGATTCCGGATTCCGGATTCCGGATTCGGCCTTGGAATCCAGAATACAGAATTCCGGATTCCGGATTGGATTTCTTTTGGAAGACAAAGCCTCGTGGCTATTGTTTGGCCGCTTTGGTGTGGAACTGTCAACGATTTTCAAGAGTCTGGTCGTGTAAATTTCCATGTCCCGCGCATCATATGTTTTTTCAATGTTTCGTCGGCGTTACGATGGGCACGGTGTATATTTTAATCGTTTAGACATGTTTAATCACTTTTAGCCACGGAATTAAACATGTTTAGCCACGAATGCCCACAAAATAACCAGGGCATGATTTTGGGCCACGTTTCACCATATTTAGCCACGTACAGCCATGTTTAGCCACGGGCACCAGAGAGCGGCTTGCATGCCAAAATTCTAGCCACGTTTAAACATTAAATAAACACGCGCGTTTTCTAATCCGAATATGTGCGAATGACGGTGTGGAAGTTCTAAGCTGTGTAACACAGATGAGGGTTATCCATTACCTTTGGAAGGAGGAAGAGGAAGACGGAGGAGCAGGCAGAGGATGAGCAGGAGGAGGTACGGAGGGAGAGACGAGGAGGAAGCGGATGAGGGGGGAGAGATGAGGACGCTGGTCGCGCGGGCATGTCGGACGAGCAGAGGTGGCTGCACCTGTACGTCGTGTTCTCCCGCGCCACGCGCATGCGGAACATGCTGATCCTGCGGCCGCCCACGCGAGAATTCCTGGAGCACGGGCCGCCGGCGTCCGTGCGGAAAGCGTTCCAGAAGTTTGACGAGATAGCGGGGAACTCCAGAAACGAGGCGGAGCAGCTCGCAGCACGGCTGGGCTTCGCGCTGCCCCCCGCTTGAGCGCGGCCGCGCCCGCGTCAAGGCCCGCGGGGTTGCCCCCAACGGCCCGGCCCGCGGGCTTGTCCCGACGGCCCGCCCCCGCCCGCCCCCGCGCCCCGGCGGCCCGCGAGATTGTCCCGAAGGCGTGGCTCACGGGATTGTCCCGGATGTTTCGCGATCCAGCCGTCGGCGAACGGGCGCGCGCTTGCCGAGGCCGCGACGGCGCCGCGGAAAATCTACCTGTTTGAATGGGCCGGGGGGAGGGGAGGCGCGCGTGAACAAGAGGCAGGAGGAGGATGAGGAGGGGGAAGGGGTGGGGGGAGGACGATGATGAAGAGGAGGTGGAGAAGGAGGAGGAGGAGGAGGAGGAGGAGAATAACGAGAATTATATATTTAGGAAGAGGAAGAGAGTGCAGAGCACAGGGCGAGAAAAGGGTGTCCGCCAGGGCGAGGAGGAAATGGTTGAGGGCAAGCTGAACATATTGTTATGCGGGGTCTCACCGTCGAAGTAGTTGGAGGAACCTTGGCAGCGTCGTGGGCTGTCTTGAAACCATCACGGGGCGACTGGGTGCCATCTGGAATCGCTTACGGAAGCAGGTGGGCCATTTCGAAGCCGACGGAGGCCGTCCGGACCCCTCCCCTTCCCCTCCAAACCGGCTGGACGGAAGCCCCTTGGGAAGGGTTTGGGGAGGGGCAGCAGCCGCACACGCCGTAGACCCCCCTATGTGGCGGCGGATGACGGACAATGGATGGTAATGGAAGCAGGGAGGAGGAAGAGGAGGAGGAGGAGGAGGAGGAGGAGGAGGAGGAAAACGAGGAGGAAGACGAGGAGGAAGACGAGGAGGAAGAGAAGGACGAGGAGGAGGAGGAGGAATAGCAAACACACAAAAAATGTAAAAGGAGGAGGAGGAGGAGGAGGAGGAGGAGAGACGGACTGAAAATAGGGAGGGGAGGAATGGGGGCATCGCCGCCGCTCCTTCGATCTCGGCGTGGGCGTGCGCGCCAGCGCGCACTTTGGGAGAAAGGGGAAGGGGGAGCGAGGAGGGCGATCGAGAAGGGGGAGGAGGGATCGAGGACCCAGGGGTTTGGGAGGAGGGAGGAGGGAGGAGGAGGATCCCGCCACATCGGGCCTCACCCAGCACAGAATGCAGCGCATGGATTGTATTATGAGCGGTGATCGATCGCGAATGCAGTGCGTGTCAATTCCACGAGGATGTGCGTGTGTGTGCGTGTGTGTTACACTGTCCGCTTTCGTCAGTGTGAGAGTTTTTGTCGATGCCGGACCATGCTTAACTCTAATGTTGGCGGGCTCTTCTACGGTTTCCTTGTCCTCTGCCCCTGGGGAAGTGGCCGTGTTATGACTTCACACCAGCCAAGCCAGCGTGGCGCGAGCTGAAAGTCGGTGACGCATTCACGCCAGCCAGATTTGTAATGCTCTTGCTGTCCCCGCATATCCTCTGTACAGGACCGCATAGAGCTCAGAAGACAAAACCGCGAGCTCCAGAAGCGGAGGATCTCGGAGGCCAGCTTGCGAAGTCAAGTGTGGGGCACCGCCCATGCAGTGTCAGGGCGTGCGGGAATAGGATATTTGGCTCTCTGAAGGAGTTGCCCCCTGGAGCGACAGGCAATTGCGAGGGTGGATGGGGACGGCGCGTGTGGTTGAGGTAGATGGGCCACGCATGTACCGGTCCGTCTCGAACTTGCCCGACTGATCAATTTAAGCGTGTGGCATGAAGGGGAAGGACGATGAAGGATGGGCGGAAGCTGAAGTTGATAATGCTAATGATGATGAGGAGGAAGAGGAGGAGGAGGAGGAGGAGGTTGAGGAGGAGGAGGAGGAGGAGCAGGAGGATGAACGATGTGCAGGAGGGAGGAGGGAAGGCTAGGTCAGCGTCTTGACGGGTCCACCAATGCATACGTTGCCCGAGTACCATCATGCCTTTTCTCTGCGTCGAGGAACTTCATTATTTCGTTCGTGCTGCACCCACTGTCTCTCTCTCTCTCTCCCTCCCTCTCCCTTCATCCATTTCCTTCTCCCTCTCGCTCGCTTCCCTCTTCTGTCTCTCTATCTCTCTCGCTCTCTCTGTCTCTCTCGCTCTGTCTCTCTCTCTCTCTCTCCCTCTCTCTTTTTTGGTTATCTCTCTCTCGCGCTCTCTTTCTCTCTCTCTCTCTCTTTCTTTCTCTGTCTCTCTATATATGTATATATACATATATACATAAATATACACATATATAGATATATGTATGGATGTATGTATGCCTGTGTCTATGTGTATATATATATGTATATATAAGTATACACACATCGATACATACTTGCGTATATATTCATATGTATATATATATATATATATATATATATATATATCCGTAAGGGCTTCGCCCCCTGCCGCCGGCCCCCTCTCTCGGAGAATGGGCATCGAAACTTCATGCGAAGCCGAGTCGCAATCAGCAAAACCAACTGATCACAAGAGGGGTTACCACACCTGGCGATTGGTAAGACGTGTATGGTTTAAGGGCTTGGTTACCACATCTTGCGATGAAAGGGCTGAGGGAGTTCTCGCAGTTTGGGTTACCACGCCTTGCGATGGATGTGCGTGATGGGTTCGAATTTCAGAAATGTGGCAAATCCCCTGTGTTTTTGGACCCTGACCCTGCGGATCTGCGTAAGGGGTGGCACCGAATTTCATGGGGGTGCGTGCACATTAATGACTTAGCGGATTTTGGGATGTCGGTCTCATCACCTCAGCGTGCCACTCAGTAGTCGTCTGGGCTCCAGAGTTTTCAGCGCATGCAGGGTGTGACGGGGGCGTTCCTCGCCTTCCTGACCTTCGTGGTGCGGGACCACTTCGCGCGTCAGCCGCCCTGGGGCGGCAACGACGCCGACTGGTGCCGCTCGGAGACTCTGGCTCCGCCTCCCGCCCCGCCCGTGCGGGACGACGCCGTCTGCTCTGTGAGCTGGGTCCACCCTGGCATCGTGGAGGAGATCGGGCAGCGGCTCGTCGCCGATCGCTGCGTGTGTGAGGTTCAGTGCAACAGCGGGGCGAGGGACTTTGCCCTGTTCGCGGGCGGCGTGGGTTTCGTCAGCTTCGGGCAGCTCATCTATTGGGTGACCTTCTGCGGCAAGTGTCACTGCTGTCGACGGGATGGCGCTCGCGCTGGCGTCGCGGGCCGTGCGTCTCGGGGCCACAGGCGAACGTCTTACGGTGCGGGAGTTCTTGAATGAGCTCCTCTCTGGCCGCCTTGTGGCGGTGAGATACCCAGGAGAGGACCTCTACCACGAACGGGTGGTCCTCGGCCCGTGTGCTCGCGACGTGTTCGGCCGAGCAGGTCGCGGGGAGGTGCTGACGCCTGACCACGACAAGTGTGACGGAGGCATGACCTTGGAGGGCGACGAAGGCAAGGCCATCGTCCTCCTGGACGACATGGGCAGCTGTCCAGCTGGCCTGCGAGGTGAATTTTACCGTTTTGCTGGCGACCGCTATCCAAGCAGCCGGCAGATCGTGGACTGGGTCAGGGCCCATGTCGAGCAGATCAGGGCCACTGGTGAGGAGCCGCTGGCGATGACCTACTACATCGGCCACACGGGCTCTCGCAGGGCGCTGGCTGGCGTGGGCAGGCGGCTCCGCTTGGGCGTCCCCGCGCCCCTGCCTGCAGGGGGGGCCCGAGGCCCTTGGGGGCGCGGCCGCCGCTGGCCTCCTCGTGGCCGCGGACGGCGACGCCGACGGCGCGGGGGCTCCCGCGGGGCCCGCTGGCGTGGTCGGCCTGGGCGCTGTGCGCGACGCTACCGAGGACCCCATTGGTCTCCTGCGGGCGCGCGAGGAGCCCGCCGAAGGTCGGCTTTGGATTGTGTGCGAGAACAGCCTGAAGTTGTTCGGCGAGTACGACCAGCTCAACTTGGGTGCCTCCGCGGGCATCGAGAAGCTGACGAGACGCATCTGCGGGGTGATCGACGGCTACGCGACGGGCGGGGGGGTCCCCAGCTGGAAGATGACAGGCGTCTACGAGGGCGAGGCCATCTCGATCGACGCCATCGCCCCCGAGCTGCGCATGTGGGGCCTGACCAAGGTGAAGTACCAGAACGAGCTGGATCAGGCTCGTTTGCGCCATCCGCGGCCCGCGGAAGGCGCCGACCCGAGTGCCGCCTTGTCGGGCGCTGCGGGCCGTGGCGACGGCGGCCGTGGCCGCGGTGGTGTGGCAGGACGGGGGGGCCGCGGCAGAGGCGATGCGGCCGCCCCTGATGGCGGGTGACCTAGACGACGGGTCGCGGATTGGCCCTCCATGCCGCGGCCCGCTGAGAGTGGGGGATTTTCGGGCGGGAGGACGCCCCAAGCTTTTTGACCAGTTCCCGATCGCGCTGCCGCCTTTGGAGTCCGCGCCGACCTCGGGAGGGCGTCGGTCGAAGAGGTACCGCAGACGTGACCACGTGCGGCAACTCGTCGAGGGCGCTTCGAATGCACTTAATTGGCTTGCCAAGACTGATGACCACCGACTTCCTGGTCTCCGCGGGCGGCCTCAACATGTTTCGGAGCTCGGCCAGTGCCGTGTGATTCGTGAGCGTGACGAGGTGCTGTCCTACGTGGAGCAGTTGGCTGCGCTCCAGGTGCGCGACGGTGGCCATGAGTACTACTTGCCGCCAGAAGTGGCCCTTCGGGAGCTGCTCTGTGACAAGGCGTCTGGCTACAGGATGGACGCCTCTATGACTACGCTCGCGCCGTACCAGCGAGGTCGGGTCTCCCTGCCTGAGAAGCGGGATGCGGCGTCGTCCATCTTCGACCTGGTGGGGGGTCGTGGCCGCGTATACCTGGAGGGTGCAGGAGAGCGCATGCTCGATCCCAGTGCTAGTGGCACGTTAGCTGGCGATGCTGATCGATGTTATGTTGATCCCCAGCTCGCCAGCAGCCCGAAGCTATACGCCCGCTTCGTGCGCGACCTGAAGGCCAGGAACATGCTAGCCTTCGGCACGTGGGCGCATGAGCGCACAGGACTCTTCTTCGTTCGAAAGAAGAGTGGGAAGCTTCGACTTATTCTCGACGCGCGGTGGACCAATCGTTGGTTTCGACCGCCGCCGCGTGTCGACCTTCTGACGGCCGAGGGCTTAGGCCGCATAGAGGTCGAGCTTCCCGACGACCAAGACTTTTCATCTCTCTACTGTGGCACTGCTGACGTGCAGGGCGCGTTCCACAGGATGGGCATACCAATGTGGCTATCTCGTTGGTTCGGCCTGCCCCGTGTGCGAGCTCGAGACGCGGGGCTGACCTCCTGCGAGGACGGCCCCCTCGCGCCCGACGACTGGGTCACGCCGATGCCGAGCTGCCTCCCCATGGGCTTCGCCTGGGGCCTTTTTTCGCCCAGGACATCGACGAGGAGGCCGCCAGCCAGATCCTTCCTCGTGCTGAGCTGCTACGCGACCGTGGCCAGCCGCTCGTGCTCTCGCTGCGGGGCGCGGCCGCCACTGCGACGCGCCACTACATCTACGTGGGCAACATCGGGGTGTTCGGCGCCGACGGCCGCATCGCGGCCTCGAAGCTCGAGGACGTGGTCTCGGCGTTCGAGGCTCGCGGCTTGGCGGTGCACGAGGTCGGCGTCTCCGACGAGGGGGTGGAGGCGCTGGGCGTTCTCCTGGACGGCCGCAGGCGGCACACCCGCCTCACCGCCAAGCGCTTTTGGAGAGTGCGAGGGGCCATCCTGGCCCTCGCCAGCCGCCGTCGGGTGACGGGGCAGCAGGTGGAGGCCATCCTCGGCCACGCCACCTTCTGCGGCCTGCTGCGGCGCGAGACGCTGTCGGTGTTCACCACCGTCTACCCTTTCATCTGGGCTCACTACGACCAGCCCGTCGTCTTCTGGCCGTCGGCCGCGGACGAGCTACGCACGTTTGCTGGGCTCATGGTCCTGCTCGTGTCCGACTGGGAGGCGGACTGGAACCCCATGATTGTGGCTTCGGACGCCTCCGAGTGGGGCTACGGGCTTTGCAGCCGCTGGGTTGGTGCCGACGAGGCTGCGGCAGTGGGTCGTGTCCGTGAACGCGATCGCTACCTCGACCCCGACCACGTCGCCGCTCGGGCCGCCGCTCTCGGAGAGGCCCAGTCGGCGACCTCTGTGCCTGCCGAGCCTGCCGACCTGTGGGGCGCCCGCGGGACGAGCGGCCTGATGGCCGACCCCACCTTTGCGGAGGTGCCCTCACCCATGCTGGAGAGCACGTCCTGGAGGACCATCGGTGGCTGGCCGTTCTCGGGCGGGGAGGGCATCTTGGCGCTGGAGGCTCGAGCGCTGCTCCGCGGGCTCGAGCGCGTGACCCGCACTCGTTTTGGCAGCAACATCCGCCAGGTTCTTTTCGCCGACAACCTCGGCCTGGTGCTCTCAGTGGGCAGGTGGAGGTGTCGGAATTTCAAGGTTCTTGTCATCCTGAGGAGGATGGCGGCGTGGTGTCTCAGCCGCAATGTTCGTCTCGCGGTGCGGTGGGTGCCGCCTGAAAAGAATCCAGCTGGCGCCCCGTCCCGTCTCTTTCAGCCCAAGTTTCAT